ACATGCACACGAATGTTCATTGCAGCACTGTTTACAATAGCAAAGACCTGGAACCAACCCAAATGCCCATCGATGATAGAATGGACAGGGAAAATGTGGCACATATACACCATGGAATATTATGCAGCCGTCAAAAACAATGAGTTCCTGTCCTTTGTAGGGATATGGATGAACCTGGAGAACATTCTCAGCAAACTGACAGAAGAACAGAAAATGAAATACCGCATGTTCTCACTCATAGGCGGGTGTTGAACAATGAGGACACATGGACACAGGGAGGGGAACACTACACACTGGGGTCTGTTGGGGGGAATAGGGGAGAGACAGTGGGGGGTGGGGAGTTAGGAAGAGATAGCATGGGGAGAAATGCCAGATATAGGTGAAGTGGGGGAAGGCAGCGAATCACACTGCCACGTGTGTACCTATGCAACTATCTTGCATGTTCTTCACATGTACCCCAAAACCTAAAATGCAATAAAAATAAATAAATTAATTAATTAAAAAGAAAAGATGACTGACCAATGAAGTAGGGATTAAATTAGGAAGGCATGAAGGGCTGGAAGTCAAGTGAAGAAGTGTTTCAAGGAAGAATCTATAATTAATCTTGCAAAATGCTGTTGACGGATCTGACCATACAAGTTCTAAGAAATGATTGGATTTGGCAGTGATGAGGTCACTGCTGACCTTAAGGAAAAGTCTTATAGGAGTTGTAGGGGTGGTAGACCTATGTGAATTTTTAAGAAAGAATGGGAAAATAAACAGTGAATATGGAAAGGGAGAGAATGAGTATGGAAACTGCTGTCAAGGACTTTCATCATAAAGAAGAGTAAAGAATTGGATGTTTTCTAGAGGATGAAATAGATTCAAGGACTTTTGATGGCCTGTTGTTTTCCTTTAAGATGGGAAAAATCGTATTTGTGTGCTGATAGGAAGTAGGAAGGGGCAAAATTGATGATATAGTAAGAAGAGGGGAAAAGCTCTCTGTAGCAATGTCCTAGAATTGGAGAGAAAATGTAGTTGAATGATCCAATCCTTGTAAAGTGAGGAAAGGCAGAGTTAATAAGCACAGATGGAGGTAGGTGGATAAATGTGGGTGATGACTCTTTTTTAAAAAATCTCTTCTGATTCTATTTTCTGAGTTAAAGCGGAATCAAAGGGAAGTGTTAGAGGTTTTTACTTGTCTCAAGACAGTGAATGGACTCAGGAATTGCCGTATAAGATTGCCTGGCAGCTTTAAGAACCCACTTGGGGTTGTAGGCATGAATGTAAAGTGAGAGGAGTCTGCAGGCATTGTGTTTTTTTCTGTAAAGCATGATCTGCTCTACAAGGGTAGGCACAAGAAGGCACTGGATTGGATTTAATTAGGGTCTAGGTATTGCCAATTTAATACCAGGAATGAAAAGAGTAGCACTGGAGTTAAGGGGGCAAGGAAGTGATTAATATAATATAATATAATATAATATAATATAATATAATATAATATAATATAATATAATATAATATATATAATATAATATTAGCAAAGTGCAAACATAAGGATGTTGAGTATCCAGGTTGTCCTATCATCCCTAAAACATATGATGTAAACAATTGCCTGTTTATGAGTAAAGCTCTATTTCTTGTATTAATATGGCTTGAAGAGAGTTCTGGGGTGGTGATACTTTGTAAAGAAAAATCATGAAGGAAAGCATTAGAACAAATCATTTACCTGCTATCCAGTATCTTTTTTGGATCTGAACTGAAGGATTTGTAAGACAGGTATTAACGGCTAATACGTGAAAAGAAGAGACTTTTCTTGTTAACACAATGTATCAATGAAAATACTTCTCAAAGTAGTAAGCTTATCCAATGGCAATGCTTTGCTTAGATAAATTGGGTCAGCATATGTATTTTCTGCAACAGCTATTCAAAATACTTTAATAAGCATAAGAAATCCACATTAAAACACAGAACTGAGATTCCTACCTCAGTTATTAGTGCATCTAATCCATTTAGTTGATACTATTTTGCATTGAAATGATAAATGCAGCAATTTCTTATATGTTATATAAATAATATATACATAAAATATGAATATGTCACTCTTAATAGAGATACCTCAATAATTTCTTAAAATAGCTTCTTTAGGTACTCAAGCATTGCCTATGTGCATTTAGATGTTTGAAAGTAGTGTTTTCTAACAGGCAAAGATTTCATGATGAAGACACAAAAGGCTGTTGCAACAAAAGTGAAAATTGACAAATGGGACCTAATTAAACTATAGAACTTCTTCAGAGCAAAGGAACCTATTAACAGAGTGAACAGACAACCTACCAGAATGGGGGAAAATTATTTGCAAACTATACATTTACAGAGGTCTAATATTCCAGCATCTATAAGGAACTTAAGTTTACAAGAAAAAAACAAATAATCCCCATTAAAACATGGACAAAGCATATGAACACTTTTCAAAAGAAGACATACATGTGGCCAAAAATCATATGAAAATAGCCTCAGCATCACTGATCATTAGAGAAATGCAAATCAAAACCGCAATGAGATACCATCTCACACGAGGCAGAATGGCTATTATTAAAATGTAAAAATATAAAACAGATGCTGGCAAAGTTGTGGAGAAACTGGAATGCTGATACACTGTTGCTGGGAGTGTAAATTAGTTCAACCACTGTGAGAGACAGTGTGGCAATTCCACAAAGACCTAAAAACAGAAATACCATTGGATCCAGCACTTCCATTAATGGGTATACACCCAAGGAATATAAATTGTTTTATTATAAAGACACATGCACACATGTGTTTACTGCAGCACTATTCACAATAGCAAAGACATGGACTAAACCTAAATGCCCATCAATTGTAGACTGGATAAAGATAATATATGTAGGCACCATGAAGTACAATGCAGCCATATGAAAAAATGAGATCATGTCATTTGCAGAAACGTGGATGGGCCTGGAGGCTATTATCCTTAGCAAACCAATACAGGAATAGAAAACGAAATACCACATGTTCTCACTTATAAGTGGGAGCTAAATGCTGAGAACACATGACAGGAGCAAAACACACTGGGGCCTATCAGAGAGTGCTGGGTGGGAGGAAGGACAGAATCAAGAAAAATAACTAATGAGTACTAGGTTTAATCCCTAGGTGATGAAAATAATCTGTACAAAAACACTCTCATGACACAAGTTTACCTATATAGCAAACCTGCACATGTACCCCTGAACTTAAAAGTTAAATTAACAAAGAAAGTTGTGCTCTCTAAATACCTTCGAGAAAGACAATAATTCAATTCTTTTATATTTTAAAAAATTAAATATTGTTTTATAACAATAATTCTTAGATGTTTAAAAAGTGTTCAATGTTTTAAAATAATGGGATATAAAATTAGCAGAATTCCTGCCTTGACTTTTTTACTTAAATGAATTAGATTTGCTTATATATACATTTATTGAATAAATAAACTGATATTTTATTTAACAGCAAAATTAAGTAAGCAATAATATTTTAAAATTCCGTTTGAAATACCTACATCTTGACAACGTTTATATAGCTAACAGCACATTTGTATAGAAGATGTTTAGGATCCTCCATGATAAAAACATATATACATATGTATACAGAAATTTTAAATTTTTTATTTTCCGACTATTGTTTACTCTAAAGATATTTTTTTTTTCTATCTAATAATGACTATAAGGTGTCACCACAGCCTTTTCTTAAAAGCACCATTCCACCTCTGAGAATAAGCTGTTATTTTACTTAAGGCATATTGAACTTCTCCATGCACAAGAAGTTGACCTGCCTGCCTAAAAAATAAGTTTTTATGCAGAACTTGTGTGGGAAGAATGAAATCTGCACTTTGACTTTTAGGAGCGTCATTTTCAGGGTCAGGTAGATTGGTGTTCAGCCCTGGCTCTGCTATTTATAGCCTGTGTGAATTTAGGCAAGTTGATACCTTTTAATGTTTCAGGTTCTCTATCTTTCCCTCACATACCCTTGAATAGAATATTAAGTACAAGAGAACAGAACCTAGTCTTGTTTAAAGACTCCCTAGTCCCCAGCACACCAAAAGGTCCTTAATAAATATCTGTGGAGTTAATAAGCATATAAAATATGTATTTAGAAGAGTATAAGAATAGTAATTATATAATAGGGATGGTTTTGAGGATAAAATAACACAATATATGATGAATACAGAGCACAGTCCTAGATCAGAGTAACTATTCTTATTAGGGATAGTTCTAGAAAAGCTGGAGTAAGTTTACCTTCTGTGTCTAACCTCAACTTCCCCTTCAGATTGCAGAAGGGATTTATACTACGACTAGTGGCCCTGTGCACACTCTAGCACCCATGTATGTATGTAAGAAGGAAAATATTTATCTTATTAATATTCATATCTCCTAAATATTTCATAATGTTTAGGAGAAGTGGAAACAAGTTAAATGAATTAAAGTACTTTAGCACACAATCTAAAACTCATGCCATCAGTGAAAATGTTTTCAGAGCTTAAGCATGCATACCAGAAAACAGGAGGTAGTACATGCGATATATCATGGATTTTAAGGTGCTTATTTTAATTTTTTACATATCTGAAATCTGGATGCATCTTACAGTTAATAGCATTTTACAATTGACTTATATCTTTCTTTCCTGTTAGTCCATAGCATAATAGGATGTCTTAGAGTTGATGAAATATGTTATATATGAAAGCAGTCCTTCTCAATGTTTATTTCTTACCACCATTCACCCCTGGCAAAGAGCTTTCTAGGCTTTCCCCCCCTAATTTCTCACCTCCATGAAATGTTAATACTGCAGATATACTCTGTATGCATATCTGTGTTTTGTATATGAAATGAGTAAGGTTCTTTTCCCCCATGAGCCAATTTTCTTCCCTGTGGGGGGCTCTATTATATTGGAGACATAGGTATTAAGGTGATGATTCCTTGTTGTTCTTAGGTTTTAGAATTTCATTTACTAAGATCATGGGAATCATGAGCTAATTCTTAGCTTTGGCAGTTTTGGCTTTAATTATATAACAGAATGTCTTGGAATCGTATTATTATCATAAATGTCAAAATGCTGTCAAAATGCCTGCAAAGTTTGAACATTTGCTATTTACCCCAACAACCGGAAAGCTGTCCATAATATTTTTTTAATAAATAAAAGGTCTTCAAGTTTGTCCATTGATGTCATTCAACATATATTTCTCATTTTATGAAATAAGATTATTTAATAATTTCAATGTGTAAATTTAGGATGTTTACTACCTCACTTTTACATATTCATTACTTTAAAACCATAACGTGAACAGTACATCCATAAAAGACCATCTGATTTTCATGAAGTACTAAGAAATATGCTGTTTTATGCTCCACATATTATACTAATTTGGGAGAATGAAGATGTGCAATTGTTCAAGTCTTTGTGTACACTCATGTACTGCAATCTAAGGAGTTTTGGGATTCCCACCTCTTATAGTAATAATGGGATATAGAGATCAGTTCATTTGTGACTGGCGGTTTGCATGAAAAAGAAAATAGGGATACAATCTCTGCCCATCAGAAAAGAGTTTTCTCTTGCAAAGTAATTATTATATTCAATAGCTTAAACTGATAGAGAAAGGAGTGATTTATGTACTTGGATAATAGCTTTAAATAGCAAAATTGTTCAGTATGTTCTTAAATATTCACTTATCTTTCTCTGGGCCATGCAGTTCAACTTTCATTTTAAAAAAATCAGTGGTGCAAAAAACTTCTAAAATTAGTGATAAATAAAATCTAACTATTTTGTATATATTGCAATAATATTATTTTATATTTGACAATTCAAACATGTTTATATTGGCCCAGTTGTATTTGGTTGTGTTAATTGGCTATTTTGGACACTCAGATATGTCAGTACATTGTGCAGTTGTTATAGGTGATATGAATATTCTAGTAGACGAAGAAATGTATCAGCAAAAATTAATTAAGATGAGCAGTGCTCCGAAGAGACACATCATCAGAATACAGAAATCTACATCATTGCTTTATCAATTTAGTTAATTGTACATAGCTTTTGTAAATAAGTTGAAAATTAATTCAAAACCAGAAATCATCTCCCCCGCTGCTCCTGGTACTTGCTCTTTCTCTGCCTTTCAGTCGAAGCATCTCCATGATACTCCGGGCATAGACATCTCTCAAGTTAACGCTGATATATGAGTCAGTAGCTATATTCTTGGTAAGCTTCTTTAGGGCTTCACGCTGTCTAACAGCTGCTTCCTTGAGTTTCAAGGTAAAGTAGCAAGCAGAGAAGCGATCATTAATAATAGCAATAGGCAAGGCCAAGACAAGAATTCCCGATAAGATACACATGAAGGCCACGATTTTGCCTGTGGTGGTGTCTGGTCTAATGTCCCCATATCCCACAGTGGTCATAGAGGTGGTGGCCCACCACCATGCACAAGGGACACTTGTGAAGGTTGTGTCAGGAATGCTTTGCTCAGCAAAGTATTCTACAGTTGAAAAGATAGAGATTCCCACGGAAAGAAATAGGAGCAGTAGGCCGACTTCTTCATAGCACTGGGTAATTGTCATCCCAAGGGAGCGTAACCCTGCAACAGAACAAATGCTGTCAGTCACTGGCATCTCTTTTCGTTCTCTTCCTTCACTCCCTTCTCTCCCTCTTTTCTCTCCACATACTGCACTGAACACTTAATAAGTCCCCAGCCCTGGGCAATGTTCTGGGGATAGGAAGCTGGTTAAATCATAATTCTTGTGCTCAGGAAGCTCATGGTCTAGTTGATGGAGCCAGGTTGAGATGGCTAGAGAGAAATATAATTAGATTCATTAATTTGCCTATAGGATTATTGAACTTTTACTATTAAAAAGAAGGTGAGAGGTAAGGCTGAGGGCAGGCAGGAGGGTTATGATAGGAGTTTGGTAAAGACTTTAGTTGGTACAGACTTTAGTCTGTGCAATAAGGGGCCTTTGCAGCATTGCATGTGGAGGGCTCATTTGGTGACATCTGTATTTCAATGCATCATTTTAGCACTTGTTGCTAATGCCAATTTTATGTTGTCTTATATTTTATGTGTCCATTTTTCTCACCTTCCTGGTAAAGTTTAACACAATTAGGAACCTGATTATTGGAAAACCAGAAAAAGTAAAGGATGGACACCATAGCAACAAAATGAAGCAGCAGAAGCAGGTTAGGCACTGGTGATAAAATCGACATGAGAACGTCACATGTATATTCCCGGGACATTCTTAGTGGTATGTCAGGAGGAGGTCTGAACTCCTAAGACACCCACTGAAACCCTAGTCCTTAATACCAAAACTATAGGAAATGATCTCTCTTGAGTACATAAAATTTCTGCTTTCCTATAATAACATAGACCTGAATACAGAATATTCCTCCATTGCAAAAAGGTATGGGAAATAGAACCACTAGAGAATTTACTCATTATGAAGCATTGGCTGTTTTTCCATTCCTAGATCTGAGGATTTATTAAAACCCAAAGAGACAGACCCACAATAGTCCAATTCCATCTCTGAAGACACTAGGCCCTATGGGGGAGTAAGAAGAGCCCATTATGGAACCAGGCTTTGAATGAACAGTAAGATTTTCTCCCTAATACTAGAGAGATGGTTATTAAAGTTTGTTCACATTTTGAAATGATATCAGCATGTCAAAATGATATCGCCTCAGAAGTCCAAAACAATACCTCTTAGAATCATTTTTTGTTTTTATTTGCTCACTAGAGACTATTTCAAATGCATTAGCATACTAATCATACTTTCATTATTTTGAATTTTGCTTTTCAAATTTTGAGATATTCTTGAATTATTAACCAGCTATTTTTAAAGATCACTGAATATTTTGAAGTTTAACTTCCAAAGAATATCTTTCAGAATACCTTTATAATACCTTTACCTTTATAAAAAAAACTGGCCTTGACATGTCTACATGAAATTACATTTCTTAAATAAATTCACAATATATGAGGAGATGCATAGCATTTGTCTGGGAATACTGTTTTAATTTAAAGGCAAAATGTTCAAAACAATTTTGTAGCCTGGGGGCGCTGGCTTATGCCTGTAATTCCAGCACTTTGGGAGGCCAAGGCTGGCAGATCACAAGGTCAAGAGATTGAGACCATCCTGGCCAACAAGTCAAAATCCCATCTCTACTAAAAATACAAAAAATTAGCTGGGTGTGGTGGTGTGCACCTGTAGTCCCAGCTACTTGGGAGGCTGAGGCAGGAGAATGGTTTGAACCTGGGAGGCAGACGTTACAGTGAGCCAAGATCCTGCCACTGGTCTCCAGCCTGGGCAATAGTATGAGACTCCATCTCAAAAAAATAAATAAAAATAAAAATAAACCCAAAATTTTATAAGGAAAGTAGAGCTGGCCAAATTTGTAGCATGGTATCTCTGTTAACTTAAAAGAAAGGATATGAGAGGGCCTTGGTAATTGCTATGCCATTATACAGACGAGGAAGCTGAGGCATGAAGGGGTAGCTTATCTGGTAGAAAGCTACAGAGCCAGAATCTAAATCTAGTTGTCTAGCCAAAAACCCGTTATTCCATAACACTTCTTAATTTTTATTCATAATTAATACATGGGGAAATATGCCATCTATGTTTACATTTTAATAAGTGTAGTGTTGAGGCAAAATTGTCAAATATTGTAATGCACATATTTTTAATAATTAAGAGTTTACTAAAACTTTATACTTGTTTTAGAATGGAGAAAATCTTTGAAGAGATGACACTGTGGAAATTATTTTCCTTTTCCTTTCTTTTGGAAAAAAATGTATTTACTGGGAGTTTTTAAATTGAGTCTTGTGAAGAATTTATAAATACTGGAAGAAAGCATCCCATTATCTGTGTCAGAAAACAAAGAGTGTGGTACTTGCAAGAGTTGTTGGAAACCCCATTGTCAAATTCCTGGCATGTGAGACTAGCTAGGAAAATACACTACCAATATTATATTATGACAAGTTCTAATTACCAGAGAAATATTGACAAAAAAACATATCAGAGGTTAATTTCACCCTATATTTATAGGAAGAAACAGCTATAATCAACCTTTTTGAGGTGGTTGGTCGGGGCACATACCAATGGAAATAATCTAGGAATAGAAATCCCTAGCCAATTTGTTTGTACTAATATATATTTTTATCAACATATATAAAATTAATATGGCACTCCAGTGTTTCTCAAAGTGTGATCCAAGAACTACCCACATCAAAGTCGTTGGTGAACTTACTATTTAAAAAATGTATGCTACTAGACCCAACCTAAAGCTTTCTGGGGGTTGTAGCTAGAATCTATATTTCAACAAACTTGCCTGGGGATTCTTATTTTCATTAAGGTATGTCATAAGGAAACTCATAGGCACTCCAGAACATCCAACAGCTGCAGGGCCAGCTCCTGATAACTACCATTGTTGGGGATGCAAACATCATCTTTAATCAGTTCCTGTGATTTTTGCTGATATTAATTATAATTTTCCTGTACATTATGTGTTTGTATGTGTGTTGTATGGAGACTTTTCTAGGAAAATATTAATTAGATTTTCAAAGGCTCTATGGCACACACACACACACACACACACACACACACACACTAGGGGATCTCTGTATTCCCCTCTCTCATGCATCCCAGGTTAGAGACAATAATTTAATTAGTTTATTTGCTTTCTTCCAAAGCAAAATATTTCCATTGCTTCTTCAAAAATTTTGGGAAGGGCACCTGCACCTAGTCATCTCTCTTTCTGTATGGCCAGAGAAGGCTCTGGAAGGCTGACTTTCCCTTCTGCCAAGGAGCATATGTAGCAAGAACCTCTTGGACACAGAATAGAAACTGGCTTATGTCCCTATATGTCATATATAATTTATATGTATCTTTTTATGTCATTTATGCATGTTTTGTCTAGAACCTTGAAGAGGCAGTGTTCCTTTAATTTTTGGACATCTTCTGGGCAATGGTTTCAGATAAACTGAGGTTAGCAAATGGTCAAATTGTGTCTCAACATTTCTCTTATGAAAAGGACATATGTGAGAGCTCGATTCTCTATACCTGTGAGAACAACTTCAAGGTTTTGTTTCCCAATATCTCCTTAGATGTCATGATCAGGTAAAGTATGGGAGTTGGTAATTTTGAATATTAGTTCAGCGTTACTTTCCTTGTACTGTGGTCAAATAATAAATGCATTCATGCAATGGCAAATGAAAAGGCATCAATGAAATCTGAATACCTGTGGAATGTCTGCCCAGCTTTAGCATGCGCAGAGCCCTGAGCAGCCTCAAAACCTGGACAATGCGCCCCACGTTCTCCAGCTCCTGTGTCGTCTGGCTCCCACTCAGGCTCTCTACCAGAAGAGTGATGTAGAAGGGCAAGATGGCAAGGAGGTCTATGATGTTTGGCACCTTTCTCAGGAAGTGACACCTGTCCCGCACACACAGGAAGCGGAGGACAAACTCCCCAGTGAACCAGCTAATGCACACATACTCCAGGATTTCCAGCAGCTGCAGGTCCAGCCAGCTTAACTCAGCTGACATCAGGGCCATGTTAATGATGGACACCACCACGAAGATAATGGAGATGACCCCAAAGATACGGGCAGCTGTGGAAGATCCAGGTTTCTCCAGGATATTCCAGAGCTTCTGGCGAACGGTGGGACAAGGTCCTTGGGAGAAGTCCTGTTCACTCTCATGTTGACTTTCCTGGTCTTCCGTGTCCTTCTTGAAGTCTAAAGTCTCACTCAGCTCTTTTCTTCTGAAGTATCTTTTAGAGAAGACAATTTGGTGATTAGTTGAACTTTATTAAAATACAGAAGTAGAAGATAAGTAAACATGGCAGGGAGGTCAGCCTTTCTCATTCAGTAAAATGCAGAAAAATGTCTATTTATGTTTTATTTAGGTTGTCTCTTGCCCACAGAATTTCTTAATTAGGTTTATGATGGTTTTCTTTCTTTCTTTTTTTTTTTTTGAGACAGAATCTTGTTCTGTTGTCTAGGCTGGAGTGCAGTGGAGCAAACTCAGTTCACTGCAACCTGTACTTCCTGGGTTCAAGTGACTCTCCTACTCCAGCCTCCTGAGTAGCTGGGATTACAGCTGTGCACCACCACTCCCAGTTGATTTTTGTACTTTTACTAGAGACAGGGTTTTGTCATGTTGCCCAGAATGGTCTTGAACTCTTGGCCTCAAGTGATCCACCTGCCTCGGCCTCCCAAACTGCTGGGATTACAGGCGTGAACCACCACACCTGGCTGAGATGATAATTTTTAAAAATGACACTTTCTTAGTAGAAGTTTATACATAGCAAAACTACTTTGGATTAACACATTTTATTGCCCAGTTTCTGGTAACAAGAACAGATGTTTGCCAGGTGGAATTTTTGGGGGGCTGTAAAGAAAGGATATTCACGAAGAAATGGTTGTAATAGCAAAGTAAGAGCAAAGTCACCCTCCAAGTTTCACAATCCTTCAATCAAGGATTGTGATTTTATCTTGTATATTTAAAACAATTCTGCATTCAAGGTTTTCCAAGTCAGTGATCTAGGTTTGATAAATGATAATGCGGCATGCCAAATCTTTCATTCCTACGCATGCACCTTTTGGAGCATGGCTTTTCTGATTCATTTATTCAGTCACCAAATATTTATTGTGGGCCTAAAGTCCCTTGCCTTATACGTTAAATTAGCATACTCAAAAAAGGGTCAAAGAGATTCAGAAAGTTCTATTCAAAAGTTGGCTTTGATGCTTTTCTGCCCCCACCCCCACTCCACCTGACAGCCCAGAGGTGGCCACACCTATTACTAGGCCTGGCTCCAGGGAAGGTGGTATAAAGCCTCAAATCTACCTGTGCCTCCCTCTCTTTCTCTGCCGCGCCCGCCTCCCCGCCCAGCCGCCGCGCGCCTCCGGGTTACCTGTCCCTGCAGCAAGAATCGATGCTGAGCTCATCGATGCCCCAGTACTGGATCTCCTGCAGGAAGGAGAGCGCGCACAACTGCTCCATGACATGCAGGCGGCCCGTGCGGTAGTAGTGCAGGACGTAGCGGAATGCCTGCGAGCTGCGGTCGAAGAAGTACTCATTGTCCACTGGGTTGGCATCGTCGCAAAGCTCCAGAGGGCTGGGCACCGCGGCCAGGGCTCCGGGGCGGCGGTAGGAAGCCACCACCACGGCCAGCTTGCCAAGGCGCGTGTGCGGGAAGCAAGACAGCGCCTGCTGCGAGAGCACGAAGCGGCTGCCGCCCACGTTGACCGTGAAGCAGTCCCCGAGCGCCAAGGGCTCCCCTTCACCCTCGCTGCAGAAGACACTAGAGTCCAGGGAGGTCAGGGAGCCGCTGTCCAGCGGCGAATCCAGCAGCGCTCTGCCGCTGGAAGGCATCTCTCTCCCAGTCGCCGCGGCCTGAGGGAGCCACAAAGTTGGGGACGCGCCGAAATCGTTGGTCCCGCGAGGGCGGTGGCACGGCCCCCAGTGGCGGCCGGGATTCCCCGGGCTCCGGAAGGGGTTGCCTCGCCCTGGCGCACCCCTACTCTCTCCACCCGCTGTGCGCCTTCCTCCTCCTGCCGCTAGGGAGCTGCCAGGGCGCGGAAGCAGCGCACAAGTGGCAGAGAGAGGAGACAGACGGGGAGCAAGACCAAGGGTCGCGCTCAGAGCAAGGTTCAGGTGAGGTCCGAGCCCGACACAGCCCCTGTGCACACTGCCGGTCGCCGTGGCCCTTCCCAAACGTTGTCACCCCGCCTCCCAACTTCGCAATTGCGATTCTCAGACTGGGAGGTGTACAGATTGAATGACTCGCTACTTGGTGGGTGGAGGGGTTGGGGAAGGGAGGAAGGAGGGAGATGTGGGGTGGAGGAGGAGGAGGAAGAGGAGAGAAGATGACTCTTAGCTGAAAGCAAGCAAGCCAGGGGGATGGCGAGACTCGCTGCTGCCCGCGGGAGACCAAAACAAAAAGTTCAGAAAGCAGAGGAAGTGGTAACCTAGTCCCTTCCAACTTGAGAATTTATATTCCTCCCTCTTCTTTCACTGCTGCTTCATAGGCCTTCCCCGGGGTGTTTGCTGGGGGTGTAGCACGTGGGGGAGGGTGCTCTGGGTGAAGGGGCCGCACCATTTTCTCCCAATTAACTCTCATTCTAGTCTGATGATCACAGACGCTCCATTTTCTTCTCCCGTCTCCCTTAAGTTTTGACCTCCTGGTTGAGAAACAAGGATAATTAATGATGACTTTTTATTGAAGCCCCAGTGAGTCACTAAGAACTAGGAGTGTCACGGTCAGCCCCCACCCTGTCGAGTGTCCACCCATTGTTGAGGCACTTTGTTGAGGCACCCTTCCTTTTAGCCATTTCTGTTCCTGCAAGTTTTCCGGAGAGCAGGTGTTCTGAGCACCACGGAGCTCTCATTTTAGAAGGAAAGGCAAAAAGACAAGGAATAGAACAAGCGTGGGCTGGGGCAGGAATTTAAATAGTAACGACGGCCTCCCTCGTTAAAGGGAGAAGCTGAGGCCAGCGCCCAGGTGAGACTGGAAATGTACCCACGGGGCCCCTGGGAGCCGCGCTGCTCCAGCCAACCTGTTGGACTCGGGTCGAGGAGGTGGGGGCGGGAGGGAAGAGCAAGTGACTCACCTGCAGCTCCCGGTACATCTGGTCTGCGCGCAGCGGCGCCGGCGCAGCAAGTGACGTACCCGTCCTTTGATCCTTTTGGTCTACACGTGAGGTCTGAATCAACTGGTCCAGGAGGGAAACTGTGCTCCAGCTGAGCTCTACCCAGCACTTGCTGCCTCTCCTTGCCTCCACCTGCCTCCGGGCTCCTGGCCCCTGGGCTCAGGCTAGGCGTATCCGCCCCCGCCCCGTGCTAGCTCAGAGAGCCGCCCGCCCGGTGCTTCCAGCACCAGCAGAGGGGAGTGGTAGGATCGAAGGGAGGGAGGTGAGACAGCGAGGGTGGGGGCGGGGGGAGTGAGGTGCTCGGCGACACTGAATATAATATTCATCCTGAACACACTCGCGGAATTGCTGCATTTGATTCCCGTTTCCCCGGATCTGTGTCTTTGCAAATGCTCCAGAACAAAATTTCCAACTGTGTGCTAAACTTGAGGTTAGGGCAGTTATATTAACAGCTTTGTTTGGCATGGTTCAAGGTTTTCTCATTTTCAGCAGGCATCTCAGAATCATGCATTTTTCAAGTCTTTGCCAGAGACAGTGAACCACACTCATCTTTGATTTCTAGTAAGTATATATAGAATACATATTGGAAAGCATATATTATGGATACACTTACATATATAAGTATATATTAGAAAGCATATATATACATACACCTATATTAGGAAGTATATGTAAAGACATAAGCAGGCAGGATAAGCCTTTTCATAGATTGAACAGAAGTGTGGCTGTTTAGTTCTAGCTTTGCCAACTGGCTGTGGAACGTCTATCATTTACTTCAAGGGTCTCAGTGCCTTTCTCAGTGAAATTTCAAGTTTTAATAAAAACGCCCAACATTTAATGGGTGCTTACTTTATGCCAGGAAATTTGAAAACTCTTTACTAATGCAGTACCTTATTTAATCATAATGGCAACACTATGAGGTAGCATATACCCATTTTACAGAAAGGGAAACTGAGGCATAGAGAAATTAATTGATTTATAAAGGGGCACACAGTTCAAATCAAACCCAGGATTACATGTCAGAGGCTGCCTTTTTAAACAAGATGCTAGAAACATATAATTTTTGTTAATAAACCAGTGTGATTTTATTTTCTTTGTTTGCAAGTTTCTAATGAAGGACAGGAGTTTAATGAGGTATTTTCATCACTCCTCCAACAAAAGTTTACTGAGCATTCACTATATACTGGTGCTGTTCACGGTGCTTGAGATATAGCAATGAAGAACAGACAAGATCTCTGTCCTTGTGGTGCTTAAAGTAACCCACTGAGAATAAATAGGCAACTTCAATAAACGTTTTTAAACTATAATATTTATAGGCATGCTTCTTTTGACAGACATCCATTTGGTTAACTTCTCTCCATAAAGAACTCTTCTCTACAGTAACTACAGAGATGCTAGAATTATCCCAGTAAATAGTTCATCATTCTGTATAGGTATTGTGTTATTATTATTATTATTTTTTTTTTTGAGACGGAGTTTCACTCTTGTTACCCAGGCTGGAGTGCAATGGCGCAATCTCGGCTCACCGCAACCTCCGCCCCCTGGGTTCAGGCAATTCTCCTGACTCAGCCTCCTGAGTAGCTGGGATTACAGACATGCACCACCGTGCCCAGCTAATTTTTTGTAATTTTTAGTAGAGACGGGGTTTCACCATGTTGACCAGGATGGTCTTGATCTGTTGACCTCGTGATCCACCCGCCTCAGCCTCCCAAAGTGCTGGGATTACAGGCTTGAGCCACCGCGCCCGGCCTTGTTATTATTTTTTAATGTAGCAGAACTTCTCCCTACACAGCAAGAAAACTCCTCCAACATCTCAATTATAAATTATTTATGTATTGAAAAAAGCCAAAGGCCTTAGTTTTGTTAAACTTTATTCATACCATGATTAGCAATAAACATCTGTACTAGTTTTATAGAATATGGTGAGGATGGAGGAAAGCATTCAGAGGAAAATAATGGTTTTAGGTGAGGAGACAGATCTTGAACAAGTAACCAGAGGTTAGTGAAAGATGACTGAGGCATCTGGGCTGCCTCCCGTGCCACTAAGCCACTGAACCTCAGTTGTGAAGAATGTTGTCCTGTAGAAGTAGTTGTAATAAACCCTCCTTAAAAGTCAGGCTCTCTGCTACACATCTGACTTCTCACAATGATCCTATGAAGTAAATATTGTACTATTTAGTTACAGATTTCGACTTGGATGCTCATAGACATTAAGAAAGTAACTTTATACCTTACATAGTGAATGTAGGAAGGGGTATATGAAAGGCTTGAAACAGGCCCTATCTGATTCCTGACTCTATCTCAACTGCTAACAGCCTAAATGTTTCAGTTGGGCATTGATTGTAGTTATAACATTTTACACTAATCGAGACAATCATAACTAGAGGGATGATTAGTCAATGGAAAGTATATAAATACAGATTACCCCTTTTAAAAATATAGAGTCTTGAGTAATAAAATTCCCCACCTGTGCTCTGTGCCTTTCCCTTAAGGCTATTGATTTTTCTTCCTTGATGGCTCGGGTTTTAGTCAGAGACTCCAAGGAAGAGCATACCATAGAATAAAAAGGGAAATATGTCCACTTGAGGGATACTTTTTTTATCCCTAATCCTGACCTGAAGTATAACCTGAGGTATGTCAAAGGAGAACTGCTGATAAGTAGTTGGGGGTGGTGAGGTCTTGCTTTCCATTTTGTTTCCACATAGCATGGGAGGAATGTGATTGTCATGTGGGAGCTTGCTTAGAACTGTAATGTGAAAACTCAACAGTCTAAAGGCTTTGGGTATATTCCCTAGTCATCAGATGTTATATTCCAGTGACTTTCCATTAAGACTTGTTATGAAAAACTCTACTTGCTTTTGGCTTCATCTATCAAGTCTACATGTATGGATTTGAATATGGAATCTCCAGTGACAACTAGTATTTTTAATTCTTTCATTTTTATGGGTATTTTTAAATTTTTTAATGAACAGTTTATATTCTTAAAAGTTATAATAAGATCAAAAGAAAAATCATGGCATTCTTTAAATGTCTAACTCGATAACGATTATGAAAATAGAAGTTAAACGTCATTTTAAGCTTATTAGAAAATCCTACTGTTAAAAATATGTTACACTTCATTTACGCTATGAATAAATCATGAGAATATTTATTTTGATATCATATTCTGTTTACTTGTGATACATTTAAATAATGTATTATGATGTTTCTGTCAAATCATTAATGCTTATCTCTAATATAAATGTTTAAAACAATTATACAGATATAATAATGCCATTACATTTTTTAGGGAAATGTACATTCATTATTAATTTATATCTGAAATATTGCAACTTTTTTTGATAATCAGATAGACATGGGAAATATAATTAGTGAATAATCTTGAATAAACAGCTTTATAAAATTCAACTAAAGTAAATTCTATATTTTCATTTTTAATTCCCTTCCTGTCATTTCATACATTTACACTAAATTCATTTAATTTTTATCATTCATCAACAATGCAGACAATGTTTTGCATGATATGTTTATCTTTGGCTCTGTTTGATTTCTTAGGAACTGACAACCAGATAGATATACCAATTGTGATGATCCTTAAAAATGTCTTTGTGTGTGAACAAAATGGATTTATCCTTTTTTCCTTCATTGCATGGGGATATGTTTAAAGGTAAAAGAAAATCTGACAAATTCTATCTATTCATCTTTCATGTGCCTTCTAGGCGCTTGGAATAAATCCTTCCAACTGTATGACAGCCCACTCTAATGCAGAATTTAGCTTAATGTGGGCTTGTTCTGGATTTCTTCCAAGGGAAGGCAATTATCTTTGGAAGTACCCAAGAAATCATTTTTATAGCCTAGTCTGCTACAGAGAAAGCATGATGGGTTGATGACTGTGATGGTGAAGATAATAATA